GGGCAGGAGGAGCAGCGGCAGATGGAGGAGGCAGAGCCACCGGCTGCCAGCGCCTGCGGGCAGGACGGGCATGGAGGATGGCGGCGGAGCAGGGCCAGGGTGGGAAGGGGATGGAGGGATGGAGGGATGGGAAGAGAGAGCGGGGCGGCTCTGGGGCAGGGGTGTGACTTGCCTCAGTTACTTCGGTGACGCCTCGGCAGCGGCCGCAGCCTATAAACAAAGAGAGGTAGAAGCAGGTCTGAAACGTGTCGCCAGCGGGTCCGGCAGGGCCACGCGGCTCCTGCCCTGCGGGAAGAGCCTGCCCGGCAGCGGGGCAGCTCCGTACTCACCCACCGGCACTCCTGCTGCCCTCACCTGGCACCACAGCCCTGCCTGTCTGCTCTGGCACAGGGCAGGGCAAGGACCTTTTTTTTTTTTTTTTTTTGGGGGGGGGGGGGGCGGGGGGGGGGGGGCGGGGGCCGTCCCTGACGGGGAGGGGGCACCGGCAGATCCGCGAGCGCCTGCCCGAGCGCGGCCCCCCGGGCAGCAGCCCGGGCTGAGCTGTGGCTCCGAGGCGGGCAAGGAACCGCCCTGCCCACGGGGGCTGCGCCTCCGCACGGGGCACAGCCGGTGCCCGGGTCCCGCTGCCTTTACCTCGGATGAAGGCCAGGTCGGTGAGCAGCTTCAGCTCCCTGCTGACGTCCAGCTGGAAGTGGCTGAAGGAGGCGGTGGCCGCGGGGCGGAAGCTCTGCAGCGAGTCGGTGGCCCTGAGGATCCTGCAGTGCCGGAGAGTGGGAATGTTGGGGGGGCACTGCGGGCACCAGAGTGTCCTGATTCCCCCCTCCGGCATCGCCGTGCCCACAGCCTGGTACCTGTTGTGCAGCTGCTTGGCAGCCTGGACAAAGCAGGGGTGGTCAGTCTCCTTCAGCACCTCCTGGGCGTAGCCCACCATGCCCGAGTTCTCCAGCATGGCCTGGTGCTCCCGGATCTGGCCGTGCAGGCTGGCCAGCCGCTCCTGCTGGCACTCCTCGATGGCCTGCAGCAGGGTGGCCCTCTTCTCCTCCAGCATGGTACAGAGGGCCTGGATCATCTGTGACACCTCCTCCTTGGCCTGTGAGCCGTTCACCTGCCAGGCACGGGCACGGCAGGGTCAGCGTGTGGCACAGCCTGGGACTGGAGGGGAGCGGGCTGGCAGTGCCACCCCCGCCTAGGGACAGCTCAGGGCCGGGCAGGCACCTTCCCCCCTCACCTCTGTGTGCTTCACCGTCTCCTCCAGCTCGGCAATCTGGGTCTGCACCGTGTCCTGGCTGCTCAGGATGTAGGCGAGGCTCTTCGTCAGCTTCTCCTGCAGGGAGGCGCTGAGGTGAGGTGCCAGCAGCCCCCACCTCGCCCCCCCCATCTGCACCAGGGCTCTGTGGTGCCCCCAATTCACAGTCAAAGCCCAGTCTGGCCCCAGCAGCCCTTACCCTGAGGGCCTGGTAGGCGCTGAGCACCGGGGTGATCTTGTGGCTGGTGTGGGTGCGGCGCACGCGGCAGAGCTGGCACACGAGGCGCTGGCAGGTCTTGCAGTAGTGAGTCACCTCCTCCTTGTGCTCCGGGCACATCAGCCCCTGCAGGGGCACAGTGGGGCTCAGAGGGGCTCTGCAACCCCCTCCTCCCCCTGAGGATACCACCCCTGCACCTCCAAACCATAGAATCACATAATCATGGAATGGTTGGGGTTGGGAGGGGACCTTGAAGATCATCTCGTTCCAATCCCCTGCCATGGGCAGGGACACCTTCCACCAGCCCAGGTTGCTCCAAGCCCCGTCCAACCTGGCCTTGAACACTTCCAGGGATCCTGGGGCAGCCACAGCTTCTCTGGGCAACCTGTGCCACTGCCACTCCACCCTCACGGTAAAGAATTTTTTCCTAATATCCAGTCTAAACCTTCTCTCTTTCGATTTGATCCATCCCCCTCCGTGTCCCGTCGCTCCAGGCTCTCCTAAACAGTTTTGCCCCACCTTTCCTGCAACTTCCCCTCGGGCACTGGAAGGCTGCAATTAGGTCACCCCAAAGCCTTCCCTTCTCCAGGCTGAACAACCCCCATTCTCTCACCCTTAATCCCCCCCACCCCCGGGGGGAAGGAGGACCCGCAGGAGGGGCCGTACCTTGGGGCGGAAGGTGAGGGTGGGGGGCGTGGGCTCGTGCTGGGCTTTCTGGGTGCCCCAGGGGTGGTAGAGCTTGAAGCACTCGTTGCAGAAGCTGGACTTGCACTCGGTGCAGCCCTTGGTGGCCTCCAGCTGCGGGGGCTTGCAGAACTGGCACATGATGGCTGCGCTGATGTTGATGGTCTGCCGGTACCGCTCCACCACCCGCTCCAGCGTCAGGTTGCGGAACAGGCTGCCCAGGCCCCTCTCCCCCAGGTCCACGTCCCGCTGGCAGGCCGGGCACGGGAAGCTGACGGTCTGGGGGTGCACGGCCCCCCGCTTGCGCCCCGGGTAGGTGCCAAAGCCTTTGAGAGGAGGGAGTGTCAGTGAGGGCCCTTCCAAGGGTAGCCCAGGGCACTGTCCCTGTCCCCATCCCTTCCCATCCCCATTCCCAGACTCTCCAGCCATCCCTGTCACCAACCTCTCCACCCATTCACATCCCTTCCAGCCACCCTTGTCCCTCTACCCTCCAGCTATGCTCTCCCTTCTTTGGCCATCCCCCTCCTCTTCAGCCACCCCCATCCCCTCCAGCCTTTCCCCTCTTCTCCACTTATCACTGTGCCCTCTGTTGTAGCTCTGGTGTCTCACCTGCCCTCCTCTGCATCTGTCCCCATCCCCTTCAGCCACCACAATCCCCTCCAGTTGTCCCCATCCTCTCCAGCTGTCCCTGTCCTCTCCAGATACTTCCTTCCCCTCTGCTGTCCCTGTCCACTGTGCTGTCCCCGACCCCTCCAATCACCCCAATCCCCTCCAGCCACCCCTATCTCCACCAGCCATCCCTGTCCTGTTCCCTCCAGCTATGCCTGCCCTTTCCAGCCACCCCTTTCCCCTCTGTTGTCCCTGTCCACTCTGCCGTCCCCATCTCCTCCAGCCATCCCTGTCCCCCTCCAGCCATCCCCATCCCCTCCACCCATCCCTGTCCCAGTTCCCTCCGTTCATCCCCCTCCCCTGCAGCCCCCCCCGGTGCCCTGTGCCACCCCTGTCCCCTCTGCCGTGCCCTCCAGCCCCACCTGACTTGAGGAGGCGGTCGAGGCGGTCGGGTTTGGGGACGACCCGGCGGCCCAGGCGGGGGCTGCGGGTGGACGGGGTGGCGGCGGGCGAGGTGGGCTCGGAGGTGGGGTCGCAGCACAGGTGGCCGTGCTGCAGCAGCACCTCGCTGGCACACACGTGGCACACGTTGTGGGTGCAGGGCAGCGCCAGCGGCTGCTTGTACATCTCCTTGCACACCGGGCACACCAGCTCCCGCTCCATGTTCTTCATGCTGGTCTGCAGAGAGACAGGGGAGCGTCACCCGCCACCCGTGGAGCGGGGCTGGCAGCAGGTGGGACCAGGGCTGGGATCAGAACCAGGGCTGGGATCAGAACCAGGGCTGGGATTAGGGTTGGGATCAGAACCAGGGCTGGGATCAGAACCAGGGCTGGGATAAGGGTTGGGATCAAAACCAGGGATGGGATCAGCACCAGGGCTGGGATCAGCATTAGGGTTGGGATCAGAACAAGGGCCTGGAATAGCACCAGGGCCAGGATCAGCACGAGGGCCAGGATCAGCACCTGGGCCAGGATCAGCATTAGGGCTGGGATCAGCATCAGGGATGGGACCAACAGAAGGGCCAGGATCGGCATCAGGGCCGGGATCAGGGCTGGGACCAGCACCAGGGGCAGGATAAGCATCAGGACTGTGATCGGGGCAGGGATCAGCATCATGGACAGGATCAGCACCGTGCCCAGGAGTAGCATCAAGGCCAGCATCAGGCCTGGGAGCAGGATCAGGACTTGCACCAGGGCCAGCACCAGGATGTGGCCCAGGGCTGGGCCAGGACTGGGAACTGAGGCCACACCAGGACCAGGATTGGGGCTGGCACAGGACCAGGACCAGAACCAGCATCATGGCTGGGATCAGGCCCGGGACCAGCAGCATGGTCAGGATCAGAAGGAGCACTGGGATGGGGCTGAGGCTGAGATCACAGCAGGATCAGGATTGGGCTTGGGAACAGCACCAGAGCCAGGACCAGTATCAGGACCAGGGCTGGGGTGAGGATGTGGACTGGATCTGGCATCAGAGCCTGGATTAGGCCTGGGACCAGCAGCTTGGTCGGGATCAGGAACAGCACTGGGACCAGAGCCAGGATGGGGCCCAGGGCTGGGGTGAGATTGGGGTTGGGCCCAGAGCAGGGCCAGGATCGGGTCAGGATCAGAACTGGCTGGGATGGGAATGGAGACCACCACTGGGATCGGCACCAGGATGGGGCCCTGGGCTGAGATGGGGATGGAGACTGGGGCTGAGATGGAGATGAGGACCAGCACTGGGATCAGTGCCAGGATGCATGCTGGGATGGAGCCCGGGGCTGGGATGAAGATGGGCTGGGAATTGGGATGGTGCTGGGTACCAGGATGGAGCTGGGATCTGGGATGGGGATCAGGATGGGGATGGGATTCACGATGGGGATGGGATCTGGGATGGGATCCGGGATTGGGCCCGCAGCAGAGCCCGGATTGGGCCCGGCACTGGGACCAGCGCCAGGACCGGGCTGGGAACCAGGATGGGGGCCGGGATGGGGCCGCCCCCCCCACCCCCGGTGCTCCCCCGGCACGGCCGTAGCTCGGTGCGGGTGGGGAGTCCGGATCCGACCCTCCCCGGGGGTTCGCTGCGGTGAACCGGGCTGCGGGTCCACCGCCCGCCCACCCCTCAAGGGCATCGCCCCCCCCCGCGTTGCCACGGCGACCCGGTCCCGGGGGACTCCTGTCCTCCCCCCGCCACCCCCCCATCCTCCGCCGCCGCGGGCGCTCACGCTGATGCGGACGAGCGCGTCCATGATGGAGGTGAAGGTCTGCAGGTCCTCGCCTTCGGCCATGGCTCCGCTCCCCGCGCCCGTGCCGGCGGCGGCAGCAGCGGCGGCCGCGATCGCCCCGGTGCGTTGCAGGGAGCGGCGGAGCCGGGGAGGGAGGGAGGGAGGGAGGGACGGAGTGGAGGGAGGGAGGGGGGGTGGTGGCGCGCATGCTCGGCCCGGTGGCACAGGGGGGCGGCGGCGGCACCGGGAGGTGGCACCGGGGATGCTCCCACCGCACCGACGGCAGCGAGCGGAGGGCAGCGCGGCTCGCGGAGCGGCGCCGTGGGGTGGGTGGGATGTGGGCGGGATGGGCTGGTACCGGGGGTAATACCGGGGGCAGCACCGGGGGTAGCACTGAGGGGAGGGGGTCCCGCGGTGGGTCCTGGTGCCGGTGCTGGGGGTCCCGCACTGCCGCCCCCCGCAGCCAGGGGGCGCCCCAGACTGCGGGGGAGCTGCTGTACCGGTAACGGCCACCGGGGGGCACCCCGCATGGGGGGAGCTGCAGTACCGGTAACGGCCACCGGGGGGCACCCCGCATGGGGGGAGCTGCAGTACCGGTAACGGCCACCGGAGGGGGAACCCCCGAGCGCCGAGAGGGGCGGGGCAGCCCGCGCATGCGCAGTGCCTCCTCTCCGGTGATGCCGCCGTGTCCCTGCGCAGTGCGCATGCGCGCAGCGCCGTACCGGGACCGGCACCGGGAC